ACGACGCAAACTTTTTTTTTTTTTTTTTTTTTTTGCATGTGTTGAAGTTAGAATACAATGCTTGCTATTTGAGATTGTAATTGTCTTCTGGTGGAATTAAATAGATTCAGAGCTCTGCGATTAAATCGAGTTTGACAAAATACACCAACAAGTTTGATTTTTTATCTTTTCCTGATACTACCTATGCACATATTTTCGTTGAAATAAAAACTGTCTAAAAAGAGATAGAAAGGGAATCCTTCATGCAACGTCAAGTCGTAGCTCGTAGGGCATTATCGTTTCGTATCTTCTGGGGCGATGGTGTTGAGATAAAGCCAACGAGACAAAATATCACACTAACAAGAAGGGGAATTTTATTTCTTTTATAACAGAAAAATACAAGTCAAAATGAATTACCAACACTGTAAGACAAGAAATAGAAGAGCAAGAAACGAGTGACTGAGCGGGAAGGGGAGAAACGAAAGTGATTGAAAGTAGAGAATGATACATCTGATACGAAAATGGAAAGGGAAAGTAGCCAAGAATTGTCAAATATCAAACCAGATGATAGGACATGGGTCTAACAGAACCAAAACGGCTCTAACAAGTAGACTCACATCTACTGCTCGTCAATCTGGGCCCGAATCTGCACGAAAAAGTCGAAAAGAGTCTCTTCGGCAGTATCCTTGTCGGCCTTTTTGGCGTTCATCAAAATCATGGCTTCTTCTGCTTCTTTCTCTACGCTATTGTAGTCACTAAGCTGCTGTTGAAGAGCCAGCGCCCACTGCAAGTCCATATTAGTCAATGGTTTCAGCCAGAAGAGAGGGTTTAACTTACACGAAGGTGCTTCTCACGCTCAGCAGGGGTACTCTCATCACGGGCCTTGTTGCACAGTTCGTCAATGGTAGACCGTATTTCCTTGAACGATCTCAGCGCCGGTTCAGGCTGCTTCGCAACTCCGGGCGGGGTGTTCTCCTGGTTATGAACCGAGATGGTCGAGCGTGGCTGGTTAGCGGCAGGTCTGTTAGCGGTCGATGAAAGGCTCGGACGCTTAGTACCGGTGCGGGTAAGACGTTGCGGACTGCCAGTAGAAGCCGCCACACCCTGAATGACCCTGCGAGGACGACCGTCCTGACCAACAGACACCTGGGGCTTGGCACCCGGTGTATTAGCTTTTGTACGAGTGGACTGCGTCGGCCTCGCAAAAGACGGAGTGCGGCCGTCAGAGGCATTGCGGCTCAATGGACTAGGGATGGAGGCGGAGGTCGAGATCGTAGAACTCGGGGTTGGCACGAGCGCAGGAGAGTATTCTCCCGAGTTCTTAGGGTTGCGGGTAACTTTGTTCCAACCAATGCCGTCGGACAATTTGGGTATTTTAACCGAATCGGCCTTTTCGTCGACATTCTTGACAGATTTCATGCTGATAATAGAGTTGTCTTTAGTAAGACGCGGGACTTGGCCCGGCTCCTCCTTTTTGATGCGTCCCTTCTCCGAGCCACTCTTGTGCTTGAAGATGTTGCGGAAGCTATCAAGCATCCTAGTGCCCTTAGAATCGGGGATACGGGGCGTTTCAACTGAGCGCGTCTGGTCTTGAGGAACCTTGACCTCAGAAATGTTCACGACGGTGGCGTCTTGCTTCAATTGCGGAGTAATATTCTCCTTGTCCGACACCTCGCCGGGAGTTTTCGGGTTAGTGTCCGACTCTGAGTGCATAGGGAAATCTGCTACGGCCTGCAGCGACGAGGTACGCGGCGGCGGATGAGATCGCAAAGGCATATTCTTGAGCATTTGTTCAGGAGTCGTAGCGGGAGTCGATACATGGGAAGCACTACGTTGATGAGGAGTGTGTGTCGGCGTCGCGTTTGCGTTCTTCTTCTCAGAAAAAGGCGAAGACGTGTGCACGCTATCTCCAGAAACAAATACCTTTGGAACAGGCGGAGTACTCTCAGCGTGTAATTTATCAGCGCTTGCGACGAAAAGGTTGGAGAGACCAGACTGGTTCAGAGGTTTGCGCGCCACCGACAGCTCGCGATTGCTGATGTCCCTCTTTGGTAGGTTCTCGAGAGACATCTGCGGGCGACAGAAGTTCCTGGCCGGTGACTGGTCAGGGTTGTGTTGGTCTTCGACCTGGTCAACCTGACTCTTGGGCTTTTCGTCGTTCTCTTGGGACGAGCCTGACTTAGATGTTTCAATGTACTTCACACGCATCATTGATAACTGCCGAGTAGCGAGAGACGGCTTGGAGCCATCGTTGATTGTTCCCATAATGACGTTGTCCGCTGATCCAGCAATCTTCAACGTAGGTCCGTAACGATACTGCCCCATTCTCTCAGATGGACGAGCACGGTATTCACCAGTGAAGACAGTGGGCGGCTTCTGCAGTTCCTCCTCGCCATCTTCTATACCCCAATCACCAATGGAAGACGAAGAAATTGAGTTATCTGACACCTTCCTGGTCTCTGGAATCGGCTCTGGAACGGACGGGTTGGTTGGCTCTCCAGTGGGGTGGGAACGCAGACCAGAAGGTCTATCTAGAACACGAATACCACCAGCAAAACCCTCGTTTGGAGAGCGCTGTATGATATCAGCAGCCTCGGTGCTCAGCCTGCGGACGGAAACTGGAATGGCGCTGGGCGTGGGGCGTGTTCCTTTGGCCAGGCCAGGGTACGTCTTTGGGGCAGGAGTTCGGGGCCCACGAGGACCAGTTCCACCGGTGGATTTGCGTGCGATTTGAACCTTTGTGTTATCAGGTGTATTTTTGTCATTGGCCGTGCTAATGCCCTTAGGGCTCGCTGTTTATAGTCAGTTACCATTATCTCTGTAAAATGAGACGCTGTCAAAAACGTACACAGTGACTGAGGTTTTTTCATTCTTGAGGCATCCATTGTCAATCTCTGTTCTTGCTGAGCTCGCGAGTCACGTTTGTCGCTGTGGTGAATGTCTGTTTCTAGAATGAGAGGTCAGCCTTGTCCAGTAGACTGAAGCGTTTCAATCTCAACTATCACCCCCGCTTTCGCGTCAGACAAAGATGGCTTTGTGTAGAGTACGCTTAATACGAGAGCTGAAGTCGACGAGATGGCCAACACAAGGAGGGTAGGACAGGAAAATACCTTTGTTCTTTGATTCTGAAATGCTTTCAGCCTTCTCCACCCCAAGACCCTTGGAGCGCGTAGAATCTGGCAAAGGATTTTGCGAAGACGACTTCGACTTCTCAGCCATATCCTGCGCGAACGTGTAGCGAGACGGGGTAATTGCAATATTTGTGCGCGTTGGCGAAGGCGTTGACGAAGGCGGAGTCGCGTCGTTGTTGTCTTCTGTGATCTCGAAGACGCGAGAAGAATGAAGAGAATTTCTGTGGGCGGAAGAAAATAAAGAGGAGCCTCTGTGGGAGTTGTGAGCATGTTGGTGAATGCAGGTTGCTGGGCCGTCACAACCAGTGCATTCATCGTTTGGCTCTTCCTCTCTGAAAGGGTTGGGAGCTGACTGCAAGAAAGCCCACCATTCTCTGTATGGCACCAAAGAAGCACGCAAAGAAACATTCTCTGAGCTTTTATCAGAGTTGTTTTCTGTGAAAAATGCAGGAGAGGGCTGAGCTGTACTCATGGGTCGACTGTATATCGAGTCGTCGGAGTAGCGTTGTCGGTTTGTCGATAAGACACTGTCGACCTTCTGAGGGATCAGTATTTGAGCTCGAATAGTCTGTTATAAGTACGTACACTTGCGATTGACAATTCTGACACTGGTCTCTTAGGTTTAGGACGAGCAAGTAGCATCGACGCCCTCCTGATCTCTTTCAAGCGATACATCGGTTTGTACTATATTGTGACCTTGTCAGCTCTCAAATGCACATATCCAAAGACCAGAAGCGACGAACTTCAATCTCCAACGGCGTTTGCTCTGGTATATCCGCAAGCATCGTGCCCGTCGGGTTGGCTCCATTCGATTGAAGAGCCTTCAAACATCCATTCAACCTTCTAAACATCCTCATCCGCGCATAACTGTTCGTACCCTTCCACTTTAAGAACATCCGATCAGGATTCCTCAGCGTCTTCAAAGCCCTCGTCCGCTTATTCTCACGCTTCTTCACCTCGATCGGCTTCGGCTTCGGCTTTGGTCGATTGGGCATCACCCCCATGATGGTCGGATACTGGGGACCAGTATACTTGGGAAGCGGTCGATACTCAACCTTCTGAATACGCTGCGCTTGCTCGAGACACATGAACCTGGGTCCTTTTGTCGAACCCCCTGGCGACATTGGCAAGCGAAATGGTTTTGGTTGAGGAGTAGGTACTGTGGTTTTTTTGTCCCTCGTTCTGTCTATCAGTGGGGCTGCAGGTCTTCTAGGACGCGGTGGGGAGCTTCGAGGTGGTGGCAGGGGCTCTGGAGGAGGGTCGTTGACAGGGCTCGAGAGTTTTTTGCGTAGGTTTGAAAAGGGCTTTTCGTGCTTCATATTGGGACTCGTCATCGTTCGTCTTTGGTCTTTGTTTCTGGTGTCGTTAGTAGACTGCTGTGTCGTTAAAGATAGAGAGAACTCACAATGGCTTGAACAAGGTTGCAAGGCAGTTCTCTTAACAAGAAACCAATATCTGAACTGTTAAAGGCTGACAGGTTTGTTGGTATGAAAGAAGCCCTAGAACTTGATGCTGTATTTGAGAAAGAACGGGTTAATTACTAAAAATATGTAGAACAGAAAGAGAACCTTAAATTAAAGGAGTGAAGAGGTTTGGGTATCTGAAATGTCTTTTTGAATACGAATGAGTGTGTGATACCCTTCACTGATCCTCTTTCAAAGATATGTTAAGCGAGTCTGATTCCCTAACATGGTAGCTCAAGCTGTGAGAATGTAAATAGACCTGTGTGCCTATACACTGCTTATAGTTTTAATACTTGAAATGAATTGCTCATATTCACTTACGATAAATTATTCTAATTTTTATCTTACATGGTGGTCGAGATTATCCAGTAAGTAAGGGGAAAGTAAATCGATGACTTGCCCATATTGAGCATTCCCATATTAGCCAAGCAAAACGCTCATCGAAAACCCATCAAGGAGAATCTCTTCGCTTTTGTCGCGAGCTGCCAACTCCCGCGTCGCCCCGAGAGATTCGTTTCCTCTTCCCAGAGCTGCTACTGAAGGTGGAGTATTGTGTCTGTCGTATGGCGCCAGTAGTTCCATCATCGTGCCACTCACTAGCTTCCCACGCAAATTTCGTAGAGTCGTCGTCACTCACTCCCATACCACGCCTGGCCTTCATCAGACGACCTAGTCGACTTCCTTCGATCATTTCTTCGAACCAGGGAATTCCACTCATCGTCCCGGATCGGTAGCTTCGAAGGGGCTCGCTTGCTAACGTGGGCACGACAACTGAAGACGACGATGGTGCTGCAGCAGTTGTAGTAGAGACTGGAACTGGATCTCTACTGGCTGGTACTTCTTCATCGGCCTCTGACTCTTCTTCTGATTCTTCCTCTTCCGAAGACCCAGGGAGCAGGTCCAAGTCTTCCAGCAGATGCTGGTCTCTGCCGTAGAGACTGCCAATGCTCACGGACATGAACTCTGCTTCGTCTCGAGGCGATTCCGTCCAGTACGTCAACGGTGTGCCACAGAATCCACAGAAATTGCGCCGAGTGTGTGGATCGTGACGAGGTGTGAAAGTGCGACGGATAGTATTATGCGTTTCGTCGGGGAAGTAGGACCGCGTGTGAGATTCAAACCAATCCAAGGGGACCCGTAGCCATGCCGTAAGAGGAGTGCCGTGGTGTCTACCTATATGCAAGTAAGCCAACGGTGTTAGTTGACATTCCAGTGCCATAGAGCTCGCATGGCAACATACGGTTGTCAGAACTGCTATCGAAGTAGATGTGCGCGTGGTCGGTCACATCTTCCGGGATTCGAATCAAATATCGATTACGGCCACATGAGCACGAACCACGCAGAGGCTCTAAGCCCGTGTCAGAGCTCATAGCGACGCGTTGTTGTATAACGATCGTGGATGTTGTGCGAGTTGACGTCGATCCAACCGGTTTAGTATGAGATCATATAGCTCATAGATCAGGCCAATTGAAGACGATCGCAGAGAAGAGGACGAGATATTATTCGAAAAATGAGCAATCTCCAGGGGTAGAACGACACCTAAATAATCGGTAGTCGAGAGTGTTCGTGAAAAAACCAGAGAGCACACAAGACAGCGTTGGGACAGGCGAAAGACATGGAAACGGTCGATGACGTGAAGCCGTCCCACAAGGCTTGGCTATTCCCGATGCGGAAACTCACTGAATTCTCCGCAGAGCTTCTTCTCGAACCAGGGTTTTGCCGCTGTGTTGGGCCCTGGTTGAGCCTGCGCTTATCTTCAGGGGTTCGTCTCTTCTTCTTGCTACCCCAGAGTCGTTTTTCCAAGAAAGACTTACAGCGCATCCTGCAGTTGTGTGCTACTACTACAATAATCTGACTCGTGGTTTGGCTCCGATTTCAGTTCCACATCCCGATATGCCATCTGCTCAACTACCTTCAACACCGCGCGCCTCAAGCTCATCTGAACCATCTTATTCACCTACTGCCAGAAGTACCACCATGAATGCAGACGACGGTGATGACCGTCGCTCGTCGACTCCGGCCGGCCATTCACCATCATCATCCAAACAGATCGTGTCTTCGAATCAGGCCAACGAAAAAGACAAACCACGCCTGACAGAGCAAGAAAAGAAAAGCAACCACATCGCGTCGGAGCAGAAACGACGTGCCGCTATTCGAGAGGGGTTTGATCGGTTAACCGAATTGGTCCCGGGTCTAGAAGGCCAAGGTCGGAGTGAAAGCATCGTGCTGAACAAGACGGTAGAATTCATGCGTCTAAAACTACGGGAGCGGCAAGAGCTCATCGCTGAGGTCGAAGGCAGAGGCGGTCGCATCGACGAGACGCTTCGACCGTGATGACTTCAGTCACTATCCACATCAGATGGAGTGCTGTTCCGTTTCTACGTCGGCCGGCCTGGGCGATGAGCCGAGGTTCGTCGGTATCATGCCCAACCCCGTGAAAAGGAATCGGGACAGCGTCCGGTCTTTCTTCTTCGTTTACGCGTCTGCGGTGCCATTATTGACGAATTTCCTTTTATTTCTCGCGTCGGGTCTGGGTCAGGAGTTAATATACTACAAGCAGAGCATTGTGGCTCTTACGATTATGCTGAAGGTTGGATTTGTGTCCGCTTTCAGCTGGCCACGGATGAGTTAGAGCGACTGGGTATCGGAGGCGTGCGTGTTTTTGTGCTGCAATTATACCTGGGCGTTTTGTGCTTTCGACTCGGTGCTACAGGCGTTGGACTTATGGAATGGGACATTCCAATTTCCGAATTTATCATCTTCTTTCATCATTCCTATACTCATCATTTATTCCTTATCTCGATGCCATTATAAAGTTGTGCAGAATATGCTTGGCTGCATTATCTATTCGTTGCATTAAGATACCGCCTTCCGTATACAGCGGATTAGTTTAGGGTCGCCTACTCCGTAACTCAGGCAGTCAGGCTACCATGGCATCTAAACTGTTCGTCATTATGTCCCTTATGACTCATCTCCGGTGAATTATCTTTGTTCAATATGCTTAAGAGTGAAATTAACAATACTAAGCGGTAACGGCGATGGAATTTCTCTCACATATTGCCCCAGACTTCGTCCTTGGAAGTGTGACGGTCTCGAACAATATAAATTTATTGGTGGACTCTCTATCGAAATACTAACATGGAGAAGGAAATAAAGAATCTGGGCCTGCCATCTCTGTGCTATCTAGTGTGCGAAGGGGGTTCCTGCCCTATATTCAAACAGGACAAAGTATACAAACATCTTGCGTTGTTGGTGAATGCCCGCGCTCCGTGACAGGAAGCATGTTGTAGCGGTTTTGAAGTTACTGACAGAAATGACAATGTCAGCCCTGGGAGGAACGGAAGCCTCTTGTTGGATTTCTATTTGTTCCATCATCTCCCTATCGGGGAATGGTAAGAATATCACTCTTCTTAATACATGGAGCTTAACCGATAAGGTGTCTAGGTTCTTCCCAAGCTAATCGGTTTTGGCTGACCTCTAAGAATCTGGAGGGCCTGGTCCGAAAGTACAACCAGCACGCACATGAGGACCAGCAAGGAGATCGGCAAATCGTTCTGGATGAAGCGACGCTTCCTATAGAAAATTTGAGTCTCTTTCCGCGCAATGACTTTCGCAAGAGTATCCTGAATACAACTGAGTACAAGCTCAGATTGCAAAATGCGATGGACAAGAGCTGCTAATTCTGGTTTTCGGTCATGGTGATCTTGATATCTTGAGGTGGCTGTTGGTGATTATACTGTCTTTATGAGAAACATCATCACACTGCTTCCTAGTGATTTATCAGTCATCCTGTTTATAACACCTTCCTATTCCAGAGGCTGGCTTATCTGGCCGGATCTCACTAGGGTAGATTCTGATTGCTCAGCCAACCATAGACAAGAAAATGCGTTTAAGCGCCAGTCTGGCCACTGCTATCATGTTCGAACCGTCGATTTCCATTGAAGAAGGTTTCGAAGCACTGATAAAATACGAAATAAAATATGCTATCTTTGAGAATGTCGAAAAGCTGTATTGCAGAGAAATCTAGCAAATGCACTTCAGTGCACAAAATGACGATTGGAAGGGAAACTATGCGGCCCGTCTCGAGCTCACACTTGAGACATACAAAGCCCGATGGAAATTCTCCAGAGGTTCCCCATAGATAGAGCCTGCTAACAAATTTCTAACTCAGGAAACATGCAGAGTCTCCAAATGTTGAGAGTCCTGGCTCAAGAGTACTTCTCTGCCAAGCCTGGCCCCGACAATGCTACACCCAACATAGGGTTACATAACCGACTCAGATCTGTCATCCTTGAGAGATTTGACTACTCTAATTCACAGCTGAATGATATGACGTTGACACAATTTCCTGGAGGCTCAATGACACTTCTAAGGATCGGTCAAGGAAAGGGAATGTTCGTACCTAGGTTTGGTATCTCATTCTACAAAAAATTCGGTTTATGACAAAACCAATCGGGGAGAGTGGCGGATCATATTGGAATGGGTCCGCGAGAAACTTGAGTTTACATGGCGGAAAGATCTACAGGTAACCTTGATCATGACTTCATGCTAATCAGGGGATTGCCTCATATGGCCAGACCTCACTAGGCCCTGCCAATCTCCCAGAACCGTCGACTAAGTGCCCCATGGGGCAGCGCAACAGATGCACTCTTCTAAGTCGTCCCTTCGACACATCCAGCAGGCGTTCAAGATTTAATCCAAGTCTGAAGCTTCCCTGGATTGAACTGCACGGATGAAAGCTTGCGACTGAGAATGTCGACGTCTGTGTTCAACATCCGAACCTCAGTCATGATGCGCTAAAGTACTGCACGTCGTACCCTTATAGACTGGACTAACTTACTTATGCCTGCCAGATGATCAGCAATGGCAACTTGCAAGCCTTGCTCATTCTCTTTGCTTTGCTTTTGGCTTCCAAACGTAGGGTTAAGTAGCGGGCTAGCTGTACGGGGTTGCAAACCAAAGACCTGCATGAAGTTAGAAAATACCAAACACCCGGCTTCCAATTTCACACTGTAGTATTTCTTCCATATAAACCTCACTATCAAGTAAATATCTGGCAAGGTTTTCAGGGCTGTATGCCTGCCAAGCCGCCTTATCAATCGGTTCACCGCCTTGATATTAGTGGGATATATCCCTTCCAATCTGTTCATTCTGTCCTCTCAATTCATTTGCATCAAGATACCCTATTATACCCTTCGAAACACAAAAAGACAAAATAAAATGTCCGAAAAACAACCCCTCACATCTGGCGTGGACTCCCCTCCCGCCTACGAAGCAGCACCACCAACCCGCACCCCTCTACCACGCCCACCACCCCTCTCCCTCCCTTTCCTCAACGATCTCCGCAACAGGCGCGTAATCCTCGCCTCTGCCTCTCCGCGTCGCCGCCAAATCATGTCCCTCCTGGGCCTCCCCAACATCGAAATCATCCCCTCCAACACCCCCGAAGACTTCCCAAAGACCCTCCAACCATTCGAATACGTGCTAGCCACGGCCTCGAAAAAAGCACATGCAGTGTACGAGCAGGAAATCTCGAACGAAGAAAAGGGTGAACCAGGGTTGATCCTCGCCGCGGATACAATCGTTGTTGATAGTTCCAGCGGCGCAATCCTCGAGAAACCGCATTCCGAAGCTGGCCATATCGCCATGCTCAAGGCGCTACGCAACGCACGAAATCATAAAGTGTACACCGCTATCGCAGCAATGGCACCACTGGCTAGTGCGCGGGACCCCGGTTACGCTGTTGAAACTGCGATTGAGGAGACGACGGTGAAGTTTGACGCGGGTGTTACGGATGAGTTGATATTGGCGTATGTACGGACAAGGGAGGGGGTTGACAAGGCGGGGGGGTATGGGATTCAGGGTCTGGGGAGTATACTCGTGGAGGGGATTGAGGGGAGTTATGATAATGTGGTTGGGTTGCCGTTGAAGACTACGTTGGGGATCATTGAGAAGGTTATGGCGAGAGCGGACGATGATGATCGGTTGGCTGGAGAGGAAGGGGATGAGGAGGGAAGTGAGTTGGAGGAAGAGGAGTAATGGTCTCTTGGGAGGAGGAATATTTGTGAGGAATCCGCTGAGCGGCAAAGACTAATCCGTCGAAACTCGACGTTGCCTCCTCGAAGTGAGCACGAACCTAATTGGGTATGAGATGAAGCTGCGTTCCATGCACTCTGTACCGTCAAGCTCTAACATCCGTGTTGATGGCATATTGAAGATGCGACATATCTATGAGTTAGTCACATTTGTATCGTGTCCAAGTCACCTACTCATGAATGACGCTTGTTCCTGGTTGCTCACATTTTAACTTAATCTAACCCCTCTTCCTAGAAAAGACAGTAGACAACAGCAGCTTGAGTATCATGGATTGACGAGCAAGGACATAACGGAGTAGATGGGAAAAACAACCGAATACCACCAGCCTAAAATTTCGTGAGTTGCATTTTCCCACTTCAGCTCTGGTGGCCATGCCACAACAGGTATACAGGAGCTAAATTATCACAGTCCTTATAAAGTGGAACCTGTAATCCTCCTCTTCCGCCAGAAAAGCAGAGGTATCAAATCCCACGCCATCTCATCAAACCATGTCCATCATTCGTCACCCAGCCGGAGCGTAATCCTGGCACCTCAATCATCCATCTCCACAGGGCCGACGAGGACCTAGCCCACACTATAATTCACTATCTCTATACGGGTGAACATCAAACCTCCGACAATCTATCAGCGCACGGCATCGCGAGACGATAACAAGAGTACATGTGCCGTTCTTGCTCATGTTGTGGTAAATGGTTACGGAATGAGCGGCATGGCGGCGCAGGCGAGACGGTATATGGGTGCCTTTGAAGATATGGTTGACACTCGCATGGTTTTGGTCATAGCTAGAAAGTTTTTCCCATGGTTGATAGATTTCGTGAGCTGTTTTCCGGGCACCTGGGGTATTTGAAAAAGAAGTTGCCGCGGGGGGGCGCTTATTGCAGCCAATGAAGGTTTTGATGATTTGATCAGCGGATTGGGATACGAGTTTGACCACTTTGTTGTGAGATTTGTTATGTCGTTGTATGCGTTTAGGATTACTAAGCTTAAGAGTGAGAATGAGGGCTCAAAAGCTCTAACGGAAAGTCTTCGCGAGGTCCAGGTTGTCAAACTGAATGATTGTCAGGTGGTGTTTGGAAATGATGTTTTATTGCCTCTTGTCCCATTGCCTTTTATTGATCAACTTGCTCGTGCTTCTTCGCCAGGGGCAATTTTTGAAGCATCGAGTGTAAGATTGAATTTGTCAAGATTAGAAAGGATGAATGAAGTACCAGCGTTGGATAGTTTTACAACGAATATACAAGAAAAAACCCGACTCAATGAAATAAAACATGAAACGAAAGAACAAATGTCTATGGTATCAGTTTATGCCTTCCAGATTCTCCGAAGACCCTCTGTGATACCAACGTCGTTTGTCTCGAGCTCGTACAATCCAACAGCGGTAGTGAAGGTGGTAAGACGCAGGAGCCAGTTACAAAGAGCCCGGGTCTTGGGAACGCGCTGCTTGGGGAAGTAGTCGATGATAGATGCCCTGTTATTTGTAAGTTGATGCTCTCGCCTTTCTCTTTCTGGTAAAAGTGACGTGACATACTCGAATCCAATGTGCGAATGGAGGACCAAGAGCGAGCAGAGAGCAGCGTCGGTAACGGGGTGAAGGGAGCCAGCGGCGAAGGGAGCGATGGTCAGGGGGACAAGACCAACGCAGACGAGTCTGTTTCAATGAGTATGTGTCGCGCTGAGTTGTATCACGGAGGTGTCGGGTTACACGCACCTCTCGAAAGACCAGTGATAGCTACCGTGCGAAGGTGAAGTGTGAGGAACAGGTGCGGGATCGTTGACTGTAATTGTGAAATCATGTCAATCTCGATTTTGTATGCAGAGACGTTGTGATATCCAAGTTTCGAGGCACACGGCCAAGGCAAGGCGTAACGGTCGTGATTACTGAGGATTATGTCGATGAAGGGCAATTTTCATACCTGTTCCCTGGATAGACTCTGAAAAGACACACTCGTTAGCACGTATCCAATTTCATTCTCCATGTCCATGTCCATTTCCATCCCGCCCGATATATGCAATTCCCTCCGGGCCCCCATCCATCCACCACCACCACCACCACCAATCTCAATCCAATCGACAATTGCAAATCAATCACTCACGAGGCAAAGGAGGCAGAATCTGCTTCTTAGCAGAGGCGTGGAAAGCAACCATCTGCGACACACCCGCCGCGTTGCGGTTCACAAGCGGTGCCCGGATAGCCGACAAACAGGACTGCCGGAGCAGAGGAGACTGGCGCGCGATCGAAGCCATGGCGTTATTCGGAGGTATCGTAAAGAAGATAAGTTCAAGCAACACACAAACACACACACACACACACACAAGGGAGCTACAGCACTGAACAGGAGAAACCGATCGCAAAGGACGTTCGAAGTTAGAGCAACCTCGGAAAGGCGAGTCGGGATATGCGGTCATCACATTATGGGCTATGTGATTGGTTTGTTGCTCTCCGCCCAGCCGAAAATGGCCGACACCCGGCAATTGGATTTAAGCTGGGGTATTCCTTCTATGCTCTACGGAGTACATGTGCAGTATTTAATCTACGTGGTTGTTGAATTCGGAGGATATAATGCTGCTTCTTCTACTGCAACAAGGTAGTATCTTGCGGAATATTTGCTGGCAATACTGAAATACAGTGCATCCGTGATCTGGCTGAAAAACATTTATGCGCAAGAGACTAATATTGATTCAATTATCTCAAAATATTATATATCAAGGTACATCATCAATTATGTCATTTAAAACTTGAGAACAGCCTTACCCAAGTTCTTTCCGTGGAAGATTCCAACCAATCCCTCAGCCGAGTTGTCAATACCAACGGTCTCGTGGATGAGAGGCTTGAAAGAGCCCTCCTTGATCCACTGCTGGACATACTTCTGGTGGTCCGCAGCGTACTTGTCACCCATACCAGGGTCACCGACGATGAAACCGCGCATGTCAATACGCTTGATAAGGACGTTGTGGATGTTCTTGATGGGGTAAGGGTCCGAGTTGTACTGCGAGATGAGGCCGCAGACAACGATACGACCGAAGTTGTTCAGAGCGTCCAGAGCGGCCGCCATGTGCTCACCACCAACATTCTCGTAGTAGATGTCGATACCGCCAGGCGCCAGGCGAGCCAGAGCGTCTGCAGGCTTCTCGTTCTTGTAGTTGAAGCCGCTGTCGAAGCCCAGCTCCTCGGTGATGTACTTGAGTTTCTCGTCCGATCCGACGCTGCCAATGACCTTAAGACCCTCGTGCTTGGCGATCTGGCCAACCAGCTGACCGACAGCACCACTTGCCGCAGAGATGAAGATGGTCTCACCCTTCTTGGGCTTACCAATCTCGTAGAGCGACGAGTAGGCGGTCAGACCGGGCATGCCCAAGGGACCAAGGTAGACACGGATGTCCTCAATTTCCAAGGGGTTCTGAAGCACGCTGAGGGCAGCAGAGGTCTGCTCGCCATTCAGAGCGATATAATCCTGGATGGGGATGTGGCCGACGACGATGTCGCCCTCCTTGTAGGTGTCATTGTTGGAGCGGATAACCTTGGCGATGGAGCGGCTGTTGAGGGGCTCGTTGAGGTGGAAGGGAGGAGCGTAGGACTTGATGTGGGCAGGGCGCATACGGCCACGCATGTAGGGGTCGAAGCTGGTGTAGAGCGACTGCACGACGACACCATTTTCGGGGGCGGGAACGCTGGCGTCATAGGCGGCAGACTCGACGACAATGTGCTCACCAGGGACGGGGTATCCCTCGGGGATCTTCTTGAAGACAAGAGACTTGTTGGATGCCATGGTGTATAATATATAGTGATTAAAGAATGACCGAAAAAGGCTAACGGGGTATCTCGTATGAAATATCAAGAAGATACAGTATCCTGGGCGAATGCAACTACTTGTACTTCAACGTGGGGCCGAACCAGAAAACCCTTCCACGTTGCGCAGAATCTTCTCGAGGTTGATTGTTGGCTGGCTGCATTTAGAAGCTTGCTCTTTTACTGTGTTACAACGGGAGAAGCCACCTTCTGGGCAAGACCACCGCGAATTTGATTGTTAAGCAGCCATGATGTACCTCGGTGTTCGCCCAACTGGGTAAGAGACAGGTTTTATGTTGGGGTTATGCTTGTTTGCAAACACGATGTGTTCATTGCTCAATCGAAATCATGATCTCTACAGAGTAGAATTCTGTAATACATACAAGTGCCTGGCTTGTACTGTGCGCCAGCCCCTTACATATGGCCTTATTTCTTTCGTTTACTTGCATGGACTACCCAGTATTCCAATATGTATCCCACTGCACCAATGCTGCTTATGCATGCATGATTCGTGCCACCTGCCGAATTGTGGGCTCGAGTCGTCTCACCGCCTTGGCAGGTTAGACCAGGCGGTGTAGAGCCCCTCCTACGTCCTAATTGGGTTAGACTAAATACAGGCCGTTATGATAGTTATATCTTATCTAAAAGTTACATATGTATTATTACTAATCAAAATAACGCATCTATGCAATGACTACATCCCAACGCTTCAATTCTTATCCCACTGCTTCTACCCCTAGTGGGCCTCTATCAATCTTATTTCCCCCCTCCCCTTCCTACCCTTCTCAACTCCCTTCATTATTTTCAATAACAACGGCTGTACGGGACTGTCCTCAAAAGCGCCCTATGTTCCGAAGTCTCTGATTGGTCAGTGATAGCGCTGCCCCAGAAAAAAAAATCTCGGGCATTTTGCTTTGCCTCCGTCCTAGACTTTTTTTAGTCCAACCGCCATCCCTCCCTCTCTATCATCCTCTCTCTTCTCTGATTCGGATTGATTCTGTGAGCCGGAATCGCTTCTTTCTCTTATTCCTTGTTATTTCCCGGCTTCAATCCGTGTCAGTCAGAATGTTGTGTGCGCTTCGCCGGCATGGAGTCGCGCAAGTCCTGCGGACTTCTACCTCTCGATTCTTCGTTGCGAGATCGACTCCCCAGCTGCTGAAATTGCAGCCCTCGACTGGCAGCCCGGTTGCTTTCCCTCAGATTCATCGATCGTTGCATGTTTCTGCTACCCGGTTTCAGGCTGCCCAGGCGGAGGCTGTGGCCAGCGAGGAGGAGCCTGCCACACCCCAGCGATTGACCGAATTCGCGGACCTGGCAAACCATGGATTGGTGGATAAGAAGATCATTGATCAGATTACCCGGTTTATGAAGATCAAGACCATGACCGACGTGCAAAGCATGACTATCAATGAGACTTTGCAGGGTGATGATGTGTATGTTTTACTCTGTGCCTTTCTATTTTCATTATGTTTTTCGAGATACTGACTATCGTCTCTTGGTAGCCTGGCCCAAGCGAAGACCGGAACAGGAAAGACTCTGGCCTTTCTCGTTCCCGTGATTCAGAATATCATGAAAGACATACAGCCTCAGCCTCAGCCTCAGGCCAGAGGTTCGTACAGACGGCGCGCCCAGTCCAGCGATATCCGAGGCATCGTCATCTCGCCTACCCGTGAACTGGCCGAGCAGATTGCAACGGAAGCCGTGAAGGTGTCACGTGGTACTGGAATTGTTGTGCAGACGGCGGTTGGTGGCACGCAGAGACGCGAGAAGCTCCGGGCTATCCAAAGGGAAGGATGCCACCTGCTGATCGGTACCCCGGGACGGTTGAAGGATATCTTATCTGATCCGACTACCGGTGTCACAGCCCCACGCCTGTCTTCTTTCGTTTTGGATGAGGCTGATCGCCTCTTGGATGATGGATTTGCACCGGACATTATGGAGATCCAAACCCTTCTTCCTAACCGCGACGAGGTTGACCGCCAGACGCTCATGTTTTCGGCTACTGTTCCCAGAGAGGTCATGGCCATGGTTCGTAAAACGATGAAGCGTGATTTCAGATTCCTGAAGACGGTTCAGGAGGATGAGGTGCCAACTCATTTCCGGGTGCCGCAGAAGGGTATCGTTCTTCCTGGACTGGAGAATGCCCTCCCTGCGGTCCTTGAAATGGCCCAAACCCAATGGGCTCAGCGGTCAGAAGACCGCAGCCAGCGTCCTTTCAAGGCAATTGTCTACTTCAACTCAACTTGTGAAGTCAAGCTTGCTTTTGATGCTTTCATGCACTTGCGCCGTCAAAGGAAAATGGGCGGAATGGCGATCTATGATATCCACTCGCGTCTGACTCAAGCTGCGAGAACAAGAAACGCAGATGGTTTCCGGCAAGCTCGCTCTGGAATCCTCCTTTCGTCTGACGTGACTGCCCGTGGAATGGACTTTCCAGAGGTCACCCACGTCATCCAAGTCGGTGTTCCTCGCGACACTCCCACATACATCCACCGTCTGGGTCGTACTGGACGCGCAGGCAAGGAGGGTGAAGGATGGATTATGTTCCACGAGGGTGAAATGCGGACTTTCCGGAACAAGCTCGGTGAACTCCCCATCGAAATGGACGAAACCTCCCTCCTCACCTCCAAAGTCGACTTGACCGACGACCAGGCCGAACACCCGGCCGCCGTGTTTGAAATCCTGGCCCAGATGCAGGACGCAATGGAGAACTCCCCGGCCAGCTCCAAGGAAGAAGCTTACAAATCGCAATTCGGTTCCCTTCTGCCGTCCTTCTACAACAAGTCCGCTGCAGTTGATGCCATGAACAAGCTTGCCGTGCACGGCTACGGCCTTTCGAACCCGCCGCACATGTCTCCCATGCTCCTCGAAAAAATGGGACTTAACAGAAGCCGGGGAGTCAGATCATCGGACCGTTCGATGGGTGGTCGGGGCCGAGCGATGGATCGCCCCCCTATGCGTGGAGGCATGGACCGTCCTCGTTTCGTCGAGCACAGTCGGGGCCGCCGTGATGATGGCAACGCCTGGAACAACAGGCGTGGTGGCGGAGAGTTTCGTGAGAGGAGTGGTGGTCGCAATCGCGATTCCTGGGGCGGCCGTGGTCGGTACTAAAAATAACGCAGCGTCGAAACTGGGTTACAGAATTTGCAGAGGTAGAGGGCATCTTTGAAAGAAATTCTCATGCATGACGATACCCGCTTTCTTTTCACAAAAAAAAGCACACTACCAAGTTGCATTTGACGGCGTTTTATGTGTTGGAAAATACGATTCTATCTCTCTTCTCTCGGATCTTTCACTCACAAGTATAGAAATGTTCTTTTCTGGCTTTGTCATGCCTGGGTACGGTTTTGGATTTGTTTCTTAATGTATTAGTATTTGTTTCTCGTTTTTCATGGGTTGTATTTTAAAATATTGGAATGGGGTCACGATTACGTCTACGTCTACATTTACCATAGAAGTCAATTAATCAATATACCTGATCTAGATTTGTTTCAGCCGTTGCCTTACAATTCTGCCTTGCTCGAGTCATTGCAATGTCACTGGCGCATTGGTTGTAGTATGCTATATCAGTGCTATATAGGATGTAGGATGAAGTCCTTAAAACATGATTTCAGATCGACGATCCCACGAGGCCAGTGTCTCCGCATGACTGTAGACATTCTATACGTTTCTGGCGCTGCATACATTTCTCTTTCGTCCTAGTTTTGGATACCCGATCTTTAAAATATCGTCAGGGACAAGTATCTTGTTTCGCGGTTGAGTTCGTCACCAGATGGAACTTTGGATATATCCGCTGCGTTTGACTACCATTTGGCATGCAATGTCTGCAACCTTGTGCCGTACAATTTTCACGGATTAGGTTGTATATATAATATAACTATTAGATAGGTCGTTTGTTGTCTCAGTAAGCCGATTGTATGTTTGACGCTATGTTGCCTATGTCTAATGAAACGTGCGATTTTGTTTTTTGCTTGGTAGAGACGAAAGAACGTTCGTTGTTTTTCATGGTGAACGGATAGGTTGATCTTATGTTTGCAATAATCCCCGGTAACTATCATCCGGGGATAAGTCATGGCCATAGCATACTAGGAGAATATAGGACTCACATACAGCGGTGCATTAAAGCGATATGTATAGTAGTGAGCTGATTGTCGTTGGAGAGAATCACTTACGAGTAGCACAATACGCCTGGTTCAGGACACTCCAGGTTCTTTGGATTTGTTGGATATGAGATTTCAGCCACACGGCATTGACTGTGTTATGACACGGGGTAGGATGATCCTCTCACCAAGACCGGTCTCGAGAGACCCAGTGAGACGTAGGAGATGTTCAGACGTAGATCCGTCTACGGAAGATGCTACATCACAGGAGGACGAGCAAACTGAAGACAAAGGCAATCTCGCGAAGAGACATGCTGACGGGGCTTGATGGTCTGGCCCTCCTCAATCTTTGCTCGCTTCTTGTCGGTCTCGATAATGCCGCATCTCCGAGATATCGCTCTTTGTCAAAAAATAAAAAATATAAAAAAATAGCCAAGGTTGACGTCTCTCCAATGGTTAGAATGGTCACACAGCACTGTGCTCTGGCTGTTGCAGCCCTTGAAAAGAAGTTGGAGGAAGACGCGTGTGTGGGAGTCAGTGGGGCTACCTCTCCCTCCTTTTAGTACTCGAGTGTGCAGCCAGTAATTTTCCTATTTTGGAGAGCCGAAGTGAGCCAATGGCTGGTGGAAATCGGTAGTTTGGCCTATTGCGCCTTGAACTTCTGGAAACGATGAAACCTAGCTAGATTTGGATGACGTTCTCATGCACCCTGACCATGAGAATACTTGCTTTACTGTAGCCAACTCTTCTTATTACTTTAAGCACGATTGGTCAGTTGATAACTGTGGAAGCTGATTGTTTGAGGTTGGTGGAAGAGGAATGAAATATCTACGAAAATCAAGTATAGGGCTGGTCAGAAGGAGCGGCGGTGAAGAGAGCATCAAGTCGGCCCTGGTTAGTTCTAGTGAATATCAATATTGTCCTAATGTTTCTATATAATATTGTGCTCTCTCTTGTATACAAAATCACTTCAAAACCGAAATGAAATGAAGACAATTCCCCCTGTTCAATGCCGAATATTAAACTCCGTCAAACATCGTCAAAGCAGAGAATAAAGAATGACAGGAAGCTATCCTTGAGTGACTTTTGGAGACAGAACCAGAATAATAAGTACCGAAAATGCTAAGAAAATGGCACTACTACTTTATATCTCTATCTCTTAATTGACTGAGCTTCTGGGTGCAAAATCCTTAAAGTCGATAGACCACGACTCTGCTTTCATGACTTAAGGAGGCCCAAACACTGGGGGCTCCGGGCTGTGGTAAAATATCTCATCCTAGCAGCTCCGGCTTTCAGAAAGAAGTACCTATCTCACCAGAGTCTGTCAACTGTCCGCCAACTGTTCCCCCCAGTTGACGATCAAGGAGACGAAAATACCCCATCCGTGAAAGAAACCGAGTCACTGAGCCAATACATTTATCGGCTTGGCAAAGAGGCCCCCGATGGTATCCCATGGCGGAATAAGGTTGATCATGGCTCGAATTCCGTTCGACACTCCAATATTGAAGCCAACACAATCGCATCCCATTTCAGGAATCATGACTCCAAATTGAACGTAACATCTGCGCCGATATAAGGCTTTTGCATCTTGTCCATTGCAGTTGGTACGTATTGTCAATTTCTTCAAGGGGCTGGCTGTAACTCAGGTCTACATAACCCATACGAGACATTTGGTCAAATAATACAGATCAGACATTAACCAAATCATATAAGAGCAATAACCATTTTCACCGTATCCGGACACATCCACAACTCTCAAGGCATAAACAATCAACTCCACGCCTCCACCAACTCATACAACGTCGACTCACTCCCCACATTCCCCGGAAAGACTACAAACGGAGTGCCCTGATGTCTAGACGAGCGTTCGTCGCATCTCCAAAGCGGAACACCAGGCGCAGCTTGTCCGACGACTAGCGCGCGTTTAATATTGAGGCCCTTGGTAGCAGCGTCGGATGAGGTGATTCCGCCCTACGATATTATCAGCATCCAACGCAAAGGGCAATAGAGATAGAAGCATACCTTTGCAATGATATACCGCGGCCGTACTTCAATCCCCTGCAGGATTCGGACGACTGCTTCTGCGACAGTCGTGCCAATTGCCAGCGAGGAGAGCTTATCGTCACCGGTTACAAGCTTCCGACTCGTCATGACCAATGTATCTTTTCCAGCCTGGAGGCATTGTTCTGTTTCTTTGACAATGTTTTTGATCGTGCGGAGTGCTGAATCGTGCGATTCGAGGAGCTCTTCCACCTTGATTTCGATGATGGATAGTTCCTTGCCGTTCTCCTTGCTGGTGTTTATTAAGGTGTCCACCTGCGCGGTGGTCTTGGGGACGTAGGATCCGACGAGGATCAGTCCGCCTGTCTGTCTAGGGGAGGGGAGATTGAGTTCTTTTGCTGTGATGGGTGCCTTGGAGCGAATTCCTAGGCGGGACGACACGAATGCTGCGCCTGTGCGATAGAGGAAGTGCTTTCCTTTTGCTTCGGCTGCCATATGTTAGAATCACTTGGTCAGGCCAGACAAACGAACAAGTCATACCCAGCAACAACCCAGCCACAAAAACATGCATATCTGACTCCGCAGCCGCATTAACAATCACTACCCCTCCCCCAGAAATACCCAAAAGCTTCTCACACACCTCCTCCGGCCCACCATTCCTGATATCCCCAATAGAAACAGAATGCAGCTGCTGAGACCCAAACCGTCCAGGCGCCTTCTCCATAACATAATCCCTCAAATTCGAACTCTCATACCCAAACGTCGCATCTTTCGCAAACTGCGTCCCTCCGGCAGGAACCAGCTTCTCCCCCTCCGCGACATAATGCACATCACTAATCGTGAACCGTCCTCCCTGGAAGAAAAACGGCGCTAAGATCCACGCATCTGCCTCTCCGAACACAGACTGTGCGACGTCTGCCTCGAGCGGGAAGTGGCCCCGTAGCGTGCTATCGCTGCGGAGGACGATATCAACGGATTGTTCGGTTGCTTTGGCAGCCTGTGCTACGTTATGACAGATTTCGTAGATTAGATTTTCTGCTTCTGTGGGCGGGAGCGCGCGGGAGTTTGTTAGGATGAAGAAACCCGGGGAGGCGCGCTGGAATTCTTCGACGAGTGTGTTGATGTCCCAGACGGCGAGGACGGAGATGTCGTGACAGGTTTGAGTCCCTGTTGGGTCATCGTCCAGGACGACAAGGCGGTTTTGGGAGGAGGTTGAGAGGAGGTTTGTGATTTGGTCTTGTGCGTCTGTGGGATATTCGGGTGGGAGTTGGGCTAGGGTGTCGGCGCGGGGGAGGACGGGGTAGACTGAAGGTGCTGGCATTGTGGTTTTTCGCGATTAATTTTCTTTCTTTGATCTTGCTGCTCTGTTTTTATAGTAGACCTAGGCAATGGGTTCAAATATTTGAGAACCGGAAAAGACATCGCGAAGAATCGCGGGGTACTATGGGGGAGATCGGCCAGAACTCCGAATATGATGTCAACATCGAGCAATGATACCTATTCTATAAGGGCATTGTAGCTATTATTGTACCAATACTAACGTTTATCAACTCAACTCGACTCTCTCCTAGCCAAAAAAGGAATGCGGAAGTAATTCAGTTGTCGAAATCCTTTTCTAAGGATTTTACTGCAACATTAAGAACGAGGAGAAAGAGGGAGATGCAAAATACTAAGACACTGGCAAATTGAATGAGAGGGAGCGGTGTGATTGGCCCGGGATACATGCAAGAACCCTAATGGAATAGCACCCTCAGTGAATCAAGACATGTTCTTTTTATATACAATTTAATCAGGATACTCACGGTAATACTAAACACAGCCCTATCCACCTACTATCATCTGAAATCAGTCTTATCCAGTCTATTAAGGTCATGCCAAAGGCCGGGGTCTTCTCGGCTATAAACAGTAAGGAAAGAAGGAGAAAAGAGCGAAGACAACATTGTATGTTGGAAAATCAGATACAATATGCAAGAATCATCATGGTCAAAATCAAGAAAGTGACAAAGATGCAAATATTGCTGGCCGGTAGAAGCAACAGCAAATGTAGGGCGAGAAAAAGGGAAGAAAGCAGCCAAATGAAAGGAATCGAGCCCCAAACCAAGGATGAAAGACAAAAGAAAAAACGAAGGTTGCAGCCGGTCATTACACATATCATCCCATTTTGTTCCCTTGAGAAACCATTTCCTTTACTGTCCGACTCCCCAACCAACAATCCCATGCATGAAAACACAAAAAAAAAAAAAAAAAAAAAAAAAAAAAAAAAAAAAAAAAAAAAAAAAAACGCAAATGAAGGTAATGGGCAAGTGATGAAACAATGACAAGAAGTAAAAGACTCAACCAACGACACTGCGAAAACTCAACGCTTCGAGGAATCCTCCTAGATCTTCCTTTTGCACCTCGACCACACAGTGCTCGAAGCTGTCGATCCGGACGCGCGCGTTGGTTTCCTGCACCACTTCCTGGAACGCAATACCGAACCGATTGCGCAAGAGATGCCTGTCCGCGCGCGGATCCTGTTCATCCTCAGATTCGGATTCAGACTCGGATGACGAGTCCTCTTCACTCTCTTCCTCGCTGTCCTCTTCGCCAGTTTCACTGCGTTCGAGCCGTTCCGCGGCACGCTTGGCGCGGCGTTCTGATCGTTCCCGTTGCTTCTTATCCTTCACTTCCTTCTTCTTCCGGCGCTCTTCTTGCCGTTTGTGTATGGCAGAAAAGTCAACGACACCTCCGCCTCCGCCAGTTCCCACGACCACATAGAGGTCTCGGTCCTCATCCAGTCCAGCTAGAACGAGGGGAGTCCCCGCGGCACGCTTCTTGCCTATTTTGACGGTGTCGCTTCGTTCCCGCTCTTGCACGCGAATAGCTTCGGCAATCCAGAGTGCGAGCTTGGTCAGTGCCCCGGGATTCGTGAACAGCTTAGCATCCGGCCCGTCCTTGACGACTGCAATTCGGAATGCTCGCAAATGTCGAATCTGGTGTTTTGAAAGTAACGATGTGCCGGTTTGGAGAATAGCGCGGTGAAGATGTTGGGCTAGTGGGAGGGCTTCGAGAAGGAGGGTAGGAGACTCAGATGTGAGAGATAGGGCATCGTATGCGCTCCAAAACCGAGGTAGGAGGCTAGATAGGTCAGATTCAGTAGACCCATCGGCGTTGGCATCATCGTTAGATTTCCTCAGTCGTGGTAGTCGTCTTGTATCCCAGCCGGCAGCAAGCTCCTCCGGTCCCACTTCCAAGATAGCACCGACAATAACACCAACGTCTGTGGCAGAAAGGCAAGCCTTCCAACCCCAGCAGCGGACAAATCCCCATCCCTCACGAGAGGTAGCGTGTCCCGGTGCTTCCTGGGGAACTAACCCATCCAGCCCATACATGGGTGCATATTTGAGTAGTCGTTGTCGTAACACCCGTTTCAACTCCATGTCCATATGGGTATAGTTCTGATGGCACTGGCTCAGGCTAATTCCCATCTTGGCTAACAGTTTATGTAACCGTTTCTTGCCGGTTTCGGTCCATACATGCAACCGTGATGACAAGTATGGACTGTGAAGCATGCTTTCATACAGTGACCAATGCCGCACGAGGATGAATCGGGGTTCTGGAGAAAGACGGATAGATTTATCTGTCGGTGACCTTGCCGTTGTCGGGATAACGCCACTGATCTCTCCCCGAAGATCTCGATCTCGTTCATAAGGGTCTGGCGGGTTCAATCGATGTACTTCGTCTCGTAAGATTTGGCGGATATGTTCGCCTCGTTCTCCACCCCAGCCTGCCAACCCTCCAGATTCAGAGGAATTAGATATGCCAACACCAGACATTGTACGGCCACTGAGCTCCAAGCTAGAGACACCCACGATGGCCAGCCAAAGCAAGTCATTATCTTCTCGACCGAGCTCAGATGCGAGGGAGTAGACGAGGGACGATATAGGTTCCGAATATGATGTTCCGGCGGAATAATAGGTGTGGAGTATACTTTCGTGTTTTCGTTTCATTCGGATGAGACGCCGTTTCAACGAACGAGCCGACGACTGTTTAGGTTCTACGGGGGAAGGTGAATCCGAGGATGGAGTAACGGAACGTGAGGAATTTGAGGAATCGTGGGGACGCTGTCGTGGACGAGTAGGAGACGAAATGAGGAATGACGAGCCCTATAAAACACAATTAGTACAATCTCCTTGCAAATTCGCAAACTTCAATCCGCACCGAATTGCTTCTCCTCCGTTGACGAGGCGGCCCACCATCTTCGTCCGATTCATCCTCATCCTCTCTTCCTGACCATGACTTGCGCTTTTTCCCTGGTCTTGATTGGTCCTCATCTTCACTATCAGATTCAAGATCCCTCTCTTCATCATCGTCCACCTCCGGCATATCCAACAGCGCCGAATACGCCTCCCGCTCCTTGCCCAATTCTTCATCAATATCGCCATCATCGTATACAACGATACCCCCATTCCCAGATGCGTACGAAGGCGTTATACACCCCTTGTCAACACCGCGCGTATTCATCCGAGTCCGCACATCAACTTCCTGTCCCACCACAGGCTGCCCCCCAAACACATTACTCAAGTTCCAAGGCCGTCGCGCATCAAACACCCAAACCTCCACTCCCCCCAAATCCTCCACCTCGTCCTCCGGATCGCTCAACGCCAGGATCTCAGTAAGATCCACCAAACCACCCACCCCTAGACAGACCACGACGCCCCCGGCACCCCCTCTCTTGGTCTGCATGGGCTTGACCAATTCCTCGCCTGCACGAGCGAGATCGCCATATCCGGCTACCGGTTGGATCTTGTGGGGGATGTAGTCGCGTTTGAGGAGGGCTGTGAAAATCCGACAGGCACAGAGGGCGTCTGGTTCGAGGGCCACGAGAATCAGCACAGGAGGGGAGAGAGGATGGTGCGATTGGAGGAGCTGTAGGTAAAGATGTGATATGAGTTGGCGCGGAAGATACATTGCAAAAACCAGGGAGTCGTCAGTGAGCGACTCCCAGGAAGCAAAGCGCGGAATAAGCAATAAGGTTGTAATGTAGATATATGAGAGAAAAACGCTTGTCACCCGGGGTTCCCCCTGCCAGGCTCGTCGTCCCCTTCGTCGTTTTTAGCAGTTCGGTTTGGTGAATTGCGAGAGATTGGATCGTATCAATAACAAATGCTGTCCGGGGCGATGGGAAGGGAAAGGCTCGCGACGCGTCGAGGCACGTGCGGAGAACAGCGCCAAGCCCCGCCCTTTGCTGCATTCATGGTTCAATAATTTCCATGGCATGAATTGTTTTAATTCAATTCTTCAATAGTATAAGGCTATGCTAGGAAATAGATGAATGGTACGTGAATTGTAGTGTTATCTGTACAAAAAGGTATAATGATCCCGGACATCAACGCCAAACACCTTGCGCGCATTACAGTACTCCCATTAAGGTAATATGACAATTTCCGTCGAAGACTGCATAGATCGAGATGGTTTTATGTGTATAAGGCGGGTCAGGTCCTGCCCAAGATCGATCCGGCAAACCACGCGGCAGCGCATGCGCCGAGCACAGAGACCCCCACGAGCCGCTTCTGCCAGCAATTCTCCCCATCCATCTTAGCAGGCCCGACATTCTTGCGTTGCGAAAAGTAAGATGATAAGGTTTGCGATTCTGTGTTAGATTGGGATGTCCCGCTGCTGCTCTGGTTGGATGCATCGCTGCGAGTCGTCAGGTACTCCTGGTCTCGTTTGCGCCATTTCTCTACCAGCCGTGTAATCTCAATCAGATCTTCTTGAAGCGAGCCAGGATCGGTGGCATTTGCATTCTCCACTTCCACGTTCTGAACATTTCCAAAGAAATCCACCAAAGTTCGAAGACGGCCTTCCTTCTCGCCGCCGGGAAACAAATCCCACCGCACACCTGGCTGCGAATGGATCTTGGACTCATCATACGAATCGAACAAGTCGCCCAGAGTCAGCTTCGAGTTGGCGCTGGTCACCTGGGTTTCGAGGAACTCGAGCACGTAATATGTCCAGCGGTCAATCACCGCAACACCAACATCATTATCCGCATGGTGAGAGTAAGAAGACTGGTCAAGCTCACTCGATCCCGTTGCGACGATATTGGGCGAGTAGAAGTGGGTGTACATCGTATTCGCCTGGCAGGTGTCGATCATGAACAGCAATTCATGGTAGCGCTTCTTCTCCCACATCTGACCGAACGCGTCCGCCAAATCCCATGCGCCAATCTCTTCCGCATCCTGAAACTTCAAGAATTGATCCCCACCATGCCCCGTCATATATACCAGAACGTTGCTCCCCGCATCGGACCCAAGTCGCTTGCTGTGCGGCACATCCTCGTCCAGACGGTCTGTCAAAAGACGGATGAAGTTCTCGACGGTCACCTCATAGCCCCGATAGTCGACCTCGATGTTGTCTCCATAGAGATCCACCGCACGGTCTGCGTTACTGTACACGGTTCCGGGAAAAGCGTTTCGGGGGTTGCAGGCCATGTCATCAGGCAGCATCAGGATGATTTGCGAATCGGGAATCCCGAGGCGCTTGACGGTGCGGTACAGCGATAGAACATTGGCGAGGTGGCGGTAATTGAACCAGAAGCGCGAGGTTGATACTAAAACGGCCCAGTTCGATGTATGCTCCGTCGAGGCTGGGAGGATGCAGAGGAAGAGGAAGGAAAGGGTGAGGAGTCTGAGGAATAACTGCATGGCGGAGCGATTATAACATAATAACAGACGTCTTAATCAAAGTGAGCCAACAATTCCAACGGAATTAGACCAGCAACGAGACGACACCAGCTGGCTATCGAAGACAGTCGAAGAGAAGAGCCAAAGATGTGAGATCACGGAACTGGAGTTGGAGAAAGGCGGAGAGCGGAGCGGCACTAGCGGCGAGTTTTAAAGGGGCATGCTCACGCAGATTCATGTAAAGAGCATTATTTGACTTCGAAAAACGAACGTTTGCAATAAGCAGGCTGCCAGGTATGTACAATGACTGCTTACTAGAGTCATGGATGAAAATCCACGTCCTCATTCTGGCAGATCGCCTATAGGGCTCCCAAATCACATGCCATCCACGCTTTAGTCATCCCGCCGCCGGAGCCGGAGCTCATAGAGGATTCTCGTCCGATCCGTCACAACATCTTGTTTTGTCTCTTTCCTTGAGCACACGACACCACTCTGATTCTTCAGATCATCAGTCAAAATGGGAGGCAAGAAAAACGTTGGCGAGAATTCCAAGAAAGCCGCTGGTCAGGCCCGTGTATGTTCCTACCTTTTCCCTATTCTCTTTTTTCTTTCAACCCCGCCCCCGCTTTCGAGGGACTCTTCGTACTTGCGTTCTATGGCACATAATATGACTAGAAGCTAACAATGTGCGATACAGAAAGCCGATGCTGCCGCAAGCAAGAAGGCAGCCGAGGATTCCAAGCGAGCAGCTGAAGAGGAAAAGCAGTGGCAGAAGGGAGCCAAGGGGGGTAACTCCAAGAAGTAAGCCCGTCGCAACCACATATTTACTCCGAACCCGAGCTCTAACCAAACCTTTCAACAAAATAGAGAAGATGCCGAAGCTAAGAAGGCCGAAGCAGCTCGCAAGAAGGCCGAACGCGACGCCCAACTCGCCGCCGAAGAAGCATCTCAGCCCTCCAAGGGCGGCAAAGGCGGTAAACAAGCAGCCCCCAAGAAGTCCCGCGGCCTCGACCTCGGCCAGCTCGACGACTCCCCCGCTGACCGCAAGACAAGCGCCCTCAATGCCACTGGTATCGACAACGCGCTGGACGCCTTGTCGCTCACGAACAAGGATTCCTCCAAGATCGATCGGCATCCGGAGCGGCGGTTCAAGGCTGCGTATACTGCGTATGAAGCGCGTCGCATGCCCGAGGTTGAGGAGGAGCACCCGGGTCTTAGGAGACAGCAGCGCATTGATCTCATTAGGAAGGAGTTTGACAAGAGTGATGAGAATCCATTTAACCAGGTGCATGTGGCGTTTGATTCTACGAGGGATGAAATTGCTCATGTGCGGGATGCAGAGAGGAAGAAGATGGAGACGAGATTGGCGAAATAAGCTGTCTCTAATGATCGTTGGGTTTATTATGAGTCTTGTTTCTGGCATTCGTTGTCAGGGTTTGGTGACGCCGCGATTGTTATACCCGGAACTACATGCTCCTAGATCGGGAGGTGCGTCCCCATAAACAAAGGGTCGATGGTGGTATGAGGGATAAATACCGCATCATGAATTATGTGACAGTATAGACTTGACAGATGTCAAATGGATACCTTCTGAATGACATAGTATTAAAAACTGTATTGAAAAACTGGTATACAAAGACAAACATTCAATGCCTAATAAAATATATGGTATCTCATGGCAATCTATCTATCCAGTGCGGTTCATCCGCCCATAGCTGCTCGAACATCCCACACAAAAAGATTCTCATCCCATCCCGTACTGGCACACCATCCCTCACTCCCAAACATACACCAGTCCACGCCCGTCACAAACTCAGTGTGCTGACCCATCCGTCCCAACTCCATACCCATAGACGGAGCGGGTCCCGAGCGCATTGTATCCAGATCACCCATCCCAGCGTCCGATCCGTCACTCCACGCGCGGCAGGTCATGTCATAGCTTCCCGAAAGGAGGATGTTGGACAGATGCGGCGACCAGGCCAGCTTCCGGACGGCATATTCGTGTCCGATCATCGCGGCCATGGGGCCCTGTTGCGGTGCACGGATGTCGAATGTGCGGATAGTACGGTCGACGCCCGCCGTCGCCAGGACAGACGGACGGTATTTGTTCCAGTCATGAGTCAGCGCTTCGGATGGGGGACATGCTGCGGGAGGAACTCCCGGTGGTCCTGGTATGGGCGATGCGGGCGCGGCATGGATCGGAATTTGTAGTGAAAGATGGTTGGAGGCGGAGGCGGGGGTGCGGAGATCAAAGATGCGAACGTAGGAATCAGAGGTGACGCAGGAGAGGATGTCGGGAGAATGGGGCGAAAAGGCGGCGGAGTAGGTGCAACTGTGCGTAGGGAGCGTAACAAGCGACTGAGGACGGTGAGGCGACCAGACGCGCACGGTGCCGTCCCAACTGGAGGAGCAGAAGCGGTCTTTGACGACTAGATTCCAGCCCACGCTGAAGACCTCGCGGTTGTGTTCTTTCCAATTCTGGACGGGGAAGTCGTTCAGATTGTTGTCAAAGAGCTTGATACTGCCATCTCCGGATGCTGCGAGGACCTGGTTTTCGTGAATTTCCGACCAGGCGAGGTCATAGAGGGAATCTTGGGTGGTGAACCTGGCAATAACCGTTGAAGTCAGCGGCGAAACGGTGACAGCAAGCGCGGATGGATAACAACCATTTCACCGGTACAATCCCATTGGGAGTCAGTTCTAATATATATAGTCGGCCATTTCCCACAAGCCCATAGTTAGCCGATCCCGCAACAGCCAGCCGATTATCGAAGAAGGGGGAGTATTTGACCGCACAGCCGTTGTAGCCCTCGGTGCGGAAGCGGAGCATGATTCGCGTTCAAAGACCGAGAACGGATCAAAAGACGACAGCAGAGAAGCGACAAACAGTTGTTTGTGTTGAGTTTGTTGAGTTTGTTGAGTGCCTTTTAAAATCCGCGCCAATTCATGAGCGGGCCAATATGCATGGTGGTTGTCGTGTAGAAATAGAGGAAAAAGTAAGAAGTTCAAACAGCAAAGATGAACCCGGGATAAGATACCTCGGTTCAGATGCAATGATCTCACCCTGCCCGACCGCAACGTCCTGGTAGTTTACTCTGTAAACGTAAACTGACGAGTAATTAAGCAGAGTAGTTTTAAATCATTCTTTTTTTT